GATCGCTTTCTGAATATATCATACATATAAACAGCAGTCCAGATAACTCAGAGGTCAGGATGTCAGTCCTAAATCTAAAGAGTAAATGGGCCCGAGTACTGCCATATTGACTATCACAATACAAAGTGCTGGGAACTAAAACACTACCAAGTGGAATCTACTACCTTGAGCTTCATTACTAAGCTCCCTACATAAAATTTTTTAAAATCTGCACTTTGTTTAGCACACTGAAAATATGTGTGCACACATATTACTCTGAAGATGTACTTTTATCTTGACTCTACCTTTCAGAGAAAAAAAAAAGAACACTTCAATTGTGGATGACAAGCATTATGTACACATCAGTTTTTATTATCTAAAAACCATAGCTTTGTACATAAGGCTGAATCTTTTCTAATTCAGTAAGAGTTTTGTAACATTTTTATACAGAGAAATTACTTCAGATGTATCCAATTATTAAATACAAATTTAAGAGAACAACTAACCTGATACCAAAGTTTCCATACCCAAACAAGTCTGGCAAATTCAATTCTTATGTCCCACAGACAGCAACAACTCTCAATTCTGAGAAGACTTAAAATTTGCTTTATGAAGCCTTACTAATATTCAGCTTCAGCCATTATAGCACTCAGGTAGATATACATTAGAACACTTTTTTTTAAAACAATTCATACAGACACCATTTGCATTAGCTTCATGGGCTTTCTTTGAGGTAGTTGTAAGGGAAATTTAATTCCAAAAAAAAAAAAAAAAAAAAGAAAAAAGGGAGGCAGACAGGTAACTGTATTTGCTGCAATCATATGATATTGTTAGCAGAGTGTGACTCTTAAAACATAATTTAAGAAGCATGAGTTCTGAAAAAAAAAAAAAAAATTTGGGCTGGATCTCATTCAAAGTTTCAGTTTCATACCACTGTATATTGATCATCAACAACAATCATTTTCCACATGAAACATGAGCTATCTCCCTTTAAACTTGTCCTTGTCCATAGCTGTTGATGATTATGTGCTGCCATCTAGCAAATGTTTCCAGAAAAGCTTAACTTTAGGAGCTATTCTGTGACAAGACACCTGAAAATTCTTGCAAAGCTTTTAAAAATACGAAACATATGCAAGACAGAAATATTTTTTTAAAAAGATTCCTCCAGTCTGCATGCTTATAAAATTAAACATAAACACAAGATGAGAATACAATTAGGCTTAATACAGACAAACCCTGCAAATGCATGATCATATGCAGCTGACACATAATAATTGCAAAACTGAACTTTTTAATTCTACAAGTTATGTTTTCCCTTGTGCAAAAGAACACGGTAAGTAGAAAATGGTAAGAAATACTGCATTTTCATCTTCTTTCTCAAAGGCTCCAACCTTCACTGTTTTGCTTTTTTCTGACTGCAGTCTTTACTTTCTCCCCCCACCAACTCTTCCCTGGGCACAGAAATCAAAATGCCATAATCCCATACAAGAATGGTATGTCTGAATTACAAAAACATTTGTTTTTTAACTGTCACACTGAAACTATACCACATTATTAAATTACTTAAAATTACTGAACCTTGCTAACTCTGGGTTCTGCCAAGATCTTGCTTTTTTCTGTTATTACCTAGGTATATATGCAATTAGAGAAAAAGAATGTTTATACACTTTTGACACAATGCCTATTTGTTAACATGGAAATAATGAGTTTCTGAAGCTGCTACACTGATATAAGCAACTTTACATGAAAAAATAAAATAAATAGTAAGTTTAGACATTCTATGAATAATGTGAACAGTTGAACAATTATGACTGATTTCTTTCATTTTTCTGTCTTATTTCACCTCATCACAACTGCAATTCCCTCTTACTTTCATTCAGGATGCTTACCTCCAGTACAGTAACGTCAGATCCCATTCATACAGTTACCTGAACACTATTACATTTTCATTTTTTGTTCCCTATTAGATCAGAACAGTCAGGAGCATATTCCTTCATCAAGGCACTATTCTTTAACCAAATGATAAACTTTTAAAAACCAACTTTTGAGGTCTCTACTCCTTTCCAAAATCTCTGAAATTAGCCAATGAATTCAAAAGCTGTCAGAAAGGACGCATGCAACACAGTCCTTTATTTGTCTCATTCCCTTTGTGGATTAGATTTTCACAATAATAATATCGAATTTTCAAGTTTCTTTAGTGATAAGAAGTTAAATCATCACCCAATTAAATGTCCTTTTATTTCAAAACACACATACACTTTACTTCATTATAATACTGAAACGAAAGGCTTGATTTTTACACTGTACTAACAAAATTTTCTATTTAGAGTGTGATGGATGCTTTTTTTTGTTTTCATCAGGACAGCAATACCAGAACAATCCTGCCATTGAATTACACTGACTGAAGCTACCTATGCAAGTGGTAATTATCCTTCTCTCTTAGAAATAAGCAGACCTGTACCTAGCAGATGCTATGCAAATTCTACCTATGACAATTATGCTTATAGGTATACTGTAGACACTCCAGAACAAAGTTTTTGGACACCTATAACTATTTGTTTTGTTAGATACTAGTATCAAATATATAACAGGAAGTAATGAAATTAAAAGTCAATTAGCATTAAGAAAGGTGATAACTCACGTTACTGAGAAACACTGGTCTTAGACTATTTGTTCTTCCTGAACACAAAATACGAATTGATAAATAAATTCTGGAACCTATGATCCTACATTTTCTTAAGACTCCATCATTTAGCAGGCTGCTATGCTGTGTGATATTCATTAATAGCAGAAGTCTGCCTTTGCCAGAATTAAAACCTGGAATACATAACTATAATACAGCTGAATTTACAAGGCCTTACAAAGAACTACTATAATATCAGCTAAGACAAACAAGTTTATCAGCTATATAGGGGTCACAAAGTTCTTCCAGCAACAACTATTTGATATATCCAAATGGGGGAAGACATTTGTATGATCCCTAGCATTGGCGGACTGTGGAATGCCAAAGGTGAATAGCGTAGAACTACATTGTAATGACAGTAAATCTTTCCCTTACCAAATACACAAGAAAAATCCAATAGTTGTTTAAAACACTAGACTTTCTAGACTCAATCATTACTTTATTCATGCTCAAATTCCACCATTTCACCATTATTACAGAAATATAATTATTTCTTACCAGTAAAATGCATTTTCAAAGAGGCATCTCAGTAATAAATACAGAGGATACCAGGTATTGGATATATTATATCCAACCTGAAATATTTATTTCAGTTTTTATGACTAGTCATCATAGTAATTAATACAGCTCTGATGCTTACGAAAAGGCATTGGTGTAGAAATGGCAAAAATTGTTTAACCTATTACACTAGGTCTCCATTCTACTCTTAGCCAGCCTGACCTTCTGTCCCTCTTGATAAGATGGCATCCAGGATTTCAGTCTCTGTACTTCCCTATGTCTCAGATAGACCTGTTATTAGAGAGAACGTACTTTTTGTCCCAGCTCTGATGAAAGCTCCCACCTCCAGAAAATCTAGAAACTAACTTTCGATTTCCTCTTAGGGTAGTGTTTAAACTGTAAGAAGGAACAGCATCTCCACTGTCCTTACTGAAATTCTTCTGGTTTTTGTACAGAAACTCATTGTATTCTATATTTCTCTGAAGAACTGTTTGGTCATTCCTCAGTCAAATAAAACTTCTTTTTTCATCCCTTGTTATATGAGTATCTCTTTGGTGAAAGACTATGAATCACTACCTGAACTTGATCAATCAATAAAATACTTGCTTCAACAATGAATGAAGTTCTCTCTTATTTCTTTGGTGATTCATGGGCATATTTCAATGTGAAATCACTTATATTTGAACTTCCATTTGTTAATAGCAAGGATCAAAAGCTCGTAAGAAATTACCAAGTAAATATCTATGTTTTATGTAACATAAAACTACATTTTTTCTGACAAACAGGCTACCTCTCATTAAGTTCTTGACTTGCAAATCAACCTCTCTCAGAGTTACTATATACCTCGAACATAAAACTTACTTGAAATAGAAGTATTATCTGAGAATGTATAAGCTGTCATTTTGGTTCTGCTGATAACATATAGTAACTTTAAGCACACTGTGAATCATCTAGGAATCGTGGAAGTGTACAATGCCATCTGCAGAGGTTGATACAACACATGCTCAGCAGAACTGTCAGCTACTCTTAAGTTGTTGCAGCAACCGTTTAAAGAGGCCAGTTGTGTCAGACATTATTGTGCACAATGATTTGCAAATGTGTAGTCAAAACCCATCACAGTTGAAACACACCTAACTAATTCAATTCACACTACAGAGCAGGGAAAAAAAAATAAATGAAAGCAATATGAAACACCAAACTTCTTACAGAACAGGAAAAAGTTAGTTCTAACCCATTAATTTCTCATTCTCAGCCCCTCCACCTCCAAGAAAGTAGAGCAACACCGTATTTTTGTCATCCAGGAGACAGGCAGCTAAGGCTTTGGCAGGTCTGCTAGAATGACCTGTAAAACTTCAGTGTGAACACAAACACGGTAAGAGGCGACGTGACACAGTGAGGACACGACCGACAGCACGCTGAGCCGAAGTACACGTGCGGACCACTGCACAGCGCCCCTCTAAAGGCGGCTGACCTTCGTAAGGCACATCTTTACTTCCTTCACATAGCCCCCTGCCCGGGACCCCGCACGCTGCGCGGCCCTTCCCAGGGGGCCGCCGGCGGCCTTCTCAAGCCACACGGCCGGGGCCGCCCCGGGGCCTTCCCCGCTCCTCCGGGAAGTCAGGCCGGCACCGAGGAAGCTCGGCTCAGGCCCGGCCCGGGCCGCTCGCAGGGTGAGGCCGCCGCTCAGCTCTGCCGCCCCCCTTCCCGGTGCCCCGACCCCGCTCCAACGGGGGCCGCCTCCGCCTGCGCCGCCGGGCCCTCCCCGGCCCAAGCCTCCCCAGCCGCCCCCGCCAGCCTGCTCCCACCGCTACCCCCGAGGAGGCTGGGGCGAGTGGCTCACCTCGTTGTTGAGGTTCAGCACGGGAGCCATGGCGCCGCCTCCTGCCCGCAGAGATCCGCCGTCCCCCGGGACCGGGCCGGGCCGGGCCGGCCGCCGCCTCCCCTACGAGCTCTCCCCACGCTGCCTCAGCGGCACCAGGAAGCGAAACTCCGCGCGTGCGCCGTGGCGGGCCCGCGCCAGACTGAAACTCGATGGTGAGAGCCGCTCTAGGCCGGCTCTCGATGGCCTCGGTCCTCCGGCCCCGCCCCGGCCGTCCCGCCATCCCGCTGCCATTAGAAATGGGGATAAAGAGGGTTTTCTGCTGGTTCTCGCAGGTGCGAAGCAGGAGGGGGACCCCGAGAGGCGCGTCAGCGGCGGCTCTTTGGAAAGAGCTCGCCTGGCATGAGGTTAAACCCGAAACTTACCCCTGTTGCGGTGCATTTTATGCTGCTGCATTGCATCATCAGGTGGCTGAATTTCACTGAATTTTTAGAGTTGGAAGGGACCATAGAGATCATCTAGTCCAACTCCCCTGCTAAAGCAGGATTGCCCAGAGCACATCAACCAGACTGCATCCAGGTGGGTCTTGAAAATCTCCAGAGAAGGGGACTCCACGACCTCCCAGGGCAGCCTGTTCCAGGGCTCTGTCACCCTCACCATGAAGAAGTTTTTCCTCATATTTGAGTGGAACCTCTTATGTTCCAACTTGTGCCCGTTGCCCCTCGTCCTCTCACTGGGAACCACTGAAAAGAGCCTGGCTCCATCCTCCTTCAACCCACCCTTGAGATACTTGTAGGCATTAATAAGGTCTCCCCTCAGCCTTCTCTTCTCCAGACTAAAGAGTCCCAGCTCTCTCAGTCTTTCTTCATAAGGGAGATGCTCCAGTCCTTGAATCATCTTTGTTGCCCTTTGCTGGACTCTTTCCAGTAGTTCCCTGTCCCTCTTGTACTGGGGAGCCCAGAACTGGACACAGTACTCCAGTTGTGGCCTCATCAGTGCAGAGTAGAGGGGAAGAATGACTTCTCTTGACCTGCTGGCCACACTCTTCCCTATCAAAGACCTGAGCAGATGTACACTTCTTAAATCCTCAAACTAAAGAGACATTCATCCCTCGGAATAGTTTATAATCTTCAAAATAATCTGGGATGCTTCCTTTTTTCATCTTGTCACTGCTGTTACGGAACTAGCCTAAAAAAGATGATATGAATAAATGGTAAACTGCTGTATTTTGAGACTTTGCTTTATCCTCCTCCACTCTGTTTCCTTATGATAGAATCATAGAATAGGCTATGTTGGAAGGGACCTTTGAGATCATCGAATCTAACTTAACACTACCACGTCCACCAGTAAACCATATCCCTCAGCACCACATCTACGTGTTTTTTAAATACCTCCAGGTATGGTGATTCAACCACTTCCCTGGCCAGCCTGTTCCAGTGCTTGAGAACTCTTTTCGTGAAGAAAGATTTCCTAATATCCAACCTAGACCTTCCCTGCCAGAATTTGAGGCCATTTCTTTTTGTCCTACTCCTTGTTATTTGGGAGGGGAGACCAACCCCACCTCACTACAACCTCCTTTTTGGTAGTTGTAAAGAGTGATAAGGTCTCCCCTCAGCCTCCTTTTCTCCAGACTAAACAATCCCAGTTCCCTCAGTTGCTCCTCAGAAGACTTGTGCTCGAGACCCCTCACCAGCTTTGTTGCCCTTCTCTGGACATGCTCTAGCACCTCAATGTCTTTCTTCCATTGAAGGGTCCAAACACAGTATTTGAAGTGTGGCCTCAAATACAGTGCCGAGTAGAGGGGGACCTTCACTTCACTAGTCCTGCTGGCCGCAGCATTTCTGATAAAAGCCAGGACGCTGGTGACCTTTTTGGCCACCTGGGCACACTGCTGGTTCATATTCAGCCAGCTGTCAACGAACACCCCCAGGTCCTTTTCTACCAAGCATCTCTCCAGCCATTCTTCCCTGAGCCTGTAGCGCTATATGGGATTGTTGTGACCCAAGTGCAAGACCCGGAACTTCACCTTGTTGAGAAAACCCACCTCCATTTTCAAGCTGCTTTAAAATTTTCAGATTTATTTTTCCTTTTTTGCAGAAAGCAGAGTATGGATTGTGCAAAAATTAAGACATCTGAAGCTTTAGCTCTGTAAAATTTTATATACACAATTCATTTTGAGTAGCTGTCGTGAAGTGGGACTGAGCATGTGTTTTGCAGTTTGCGAGATCTCAGTCTGAAAAGTTTAACAAAGTTTCATCAGAACTTTTCCTCATTATTTCCAGGTTATATAGCTTGAAAGAACTGTTGATTTAAATTGTTAAAACAATTTTTCTATTTTACTGAAATGTGACTTTCACAAAACTAATGCCTAAATGTAAGCGACTCTTAGCATGTCTAGAGAATGAATAAGTTATTGTTTCACTTTACTGTTTATCTGTTGCAGTATTCAAAGGAACTGAGATCATATTTGAAAATATTTGGGGAAACTGTTTTAAATATAAAACTCTTTTGTTTATATGAATAAAATCAATTGCAGGAAATTCTTTGGACGTTCACCAGCGATTCGCTGGCCCCTGGATGGCACTGTTGTGCCTGGAATTCTGCTTTGAAGTCTGAATGTTTAAACAAATACAACTGTTGTCAGCTGTCTCTGTAATGCATTTTGTCTTTAGGATCTAGCATTTAGATCTTGTTATATTTTACTGTTTGATTCCTAACTGGTGCTCAGGTATCTCTAGTAAGGGAACTGCAGCTAAATCACCTTTGGCTGTAATTTTTATCAAGTCTTACATGCAAGTGGGATCAGGCCAGGCTAGTCCTTCAAAATAAAAAACTTTCTAGTTCCATTTAGAATGCTTCAGAGAGCAGTACTGTGGATCAATAAAGGGCCAACTGCAACTACTTTGGACCCATCCATTCATAATGTAGTAATGTTATTTTGTTCCAACAGGATCTGAACATAGCATTAAACATATAGCTGCTGAGAATGCTTTGGCTCTAACTGCAGATCTTGAGTATGTACCACAGCTGCTGTTTTGGAAAAATTCTGACTTGGGCAGTTATATCCAGCCTACCTGAAGTCAGCCTATTGTCATAAAATATTTTTTGCTTTCTAGTATCGCTGATAGCAAATAGCTACAGTGTTCTACATGAGAAATAGCTGCATTTGTGGCTGTATATGAAGCAGTCTTGGAAGTGATGCACTCAATACCATCAATCTATTTTCAAAAATTAAAGAATATTATCTCATATCTAGATTGGATTTGTATGCACTGAGTGCAATACTGGAATCAGAAACTCAGTAAGGAAAGATCTTCCGAGGAAAAAACAGAGATGTTTCTCTTTTTCCTGACCTCTCATGCAAAACTAACACCTAGATATGCCAGTCTTAAATTCCATTGTAAAACTTAGCAAAGAGAAAGACAAAAGCAGGACCAGGGAGCCAGCTGCAGTTCTGTGACACCAACTGCTCCCAGCCTGGCCTCATATCAATTAGAGTTGTTCCCTGTCTGTGTAGGCTACTGGGTCATAACTTCAATTTTCCTTTGTATATCCTCTGAACGCTGAAATTGCTTGCTTTGGAAGTTTCTTGTAGACCATGATGACATACATGGTCCTTCTTCATCCAACAATTTTGTTTTCTTGTTATTCAGTCAGTCACTGATGAAAACATGTATTTTTGTTGCTTTCATCTTTTTAAACCTCTGTGGCCTTCCAGAGTTCAGAATTGCTGTGCCTCACAGCTGGTTCATTGGCTCTTTGTCATACTATTTTTTGACTTAAATTCATTCTAAGTCAAGATTTTCTTGTCAGCTTGTCACAGTCTGGATGCTTTGAGGCATTGCCCCATATAACAGTTTCATACTTTCATGCTTTGTTCTGACCTTTCTTCCTTTCATGTCAGTATTTCACTCAGCTATTTTGGCATACTTTTCCAGTGTTTGAACACATTTTTTTGGACCATCTTCTCTACTTTGAGAACAGCTGCCTGTGTGTGTGTGCACGTGGCAGGGCAGCATGTATTTGTAGGACATACTGTGTTGCAGAAAAAAATACAAGGGAGTCAGGGTGGTAAGTTATTCCAGGGAAAAGGGGGTTATAACAGGGTCCCATTTCCCTCCCTTTATCTTGGCACTCTCCAGGCTTCTATGATGTGGTAGCAGCTGTGCAGACCATCTTGAAGCTACATCTGGCCTTGATCCTAGAAGCCATGAATATAAGTCATATATTTGGAGTACTTACTGAAATTTGTGATGATTGCAGACAGTCGCACCCCTATTCACAGTACAGATATAATGAAGTATGCATTAAGTGTCTTTTGTATTGAAAATGACAATAAGTATATTTTAGCAATTTCAATTATTTGTTCCTCTTTTGTGAACCAAATTTAAGAATTCAGAAGTTTCACAAAATGAAAATACCAAGAATCTTAACTAGACATTGAGGATCACAAAACCAGAAGGTATTCTACAATTTGTAGCTTTCTATATAGCAGCTTGTGCTCTGACTTTCCCCAGAGGAGTTTCTTTTTACTGATACAAGGCATCTATTCTGGACTTGGTCGCTTTCTTTTACTGGAAATTATATTATTTGTTTTTTAAATATAATAAAACTTAAAGGATCTAGCAGACATTAGGATCCTGTTTTTTACTTACTCATGTATAATGTATACTTTACTACTTATATGTGTAGTAAGAGAAAATTTCAGCATCACATAATAAGCAACTGAAATAGCAAATGAACTACTGAAACTGCTTCCTATAAAAGGGAAATGTAGGATATAGGAATTGTTAAGTGATTTATGATGGATTGCAGAGGAAAACAATGTTCATTGCACATGTAAATTTAATGTCCCACAAGATCATCCTTCCAGGTTCTGTTGTTCATATGCATTAAAACAGCCATTAAATTCAGAAATATTTTTGAAATTTAAGTCCTCACACTGTGGCTGAATGTTGAATGGATTCTATGTAGGGAGCATCTCAAAGTTAATTCTGCTTCTTTAATAACAGATGTATGTGATCACTTAGGATTGAAATACAGTTAATTGCACTGAAGAACATGTTCTAGTGTGTACATAACAAGGACAGTAGCCAGTAAGTATTTATGAAGACACAAAAATTTTTAGAAGTGAGTAAAGTCATAAGAAAATTAAGT